CACCAGATTCAGGATTGTCTTGGCCTGCTCGCCATCCTCCTTGCCCGCCCGGCCCCGCCCCCCATGCTGGGCGTTGTCCCTCCATCTGCCACCTGCCCGCCCCGCCCCTGAGAGCCCACCCTCGAGAACCGCCCCCGCGTGGGGTCCTCCGCCCCTCCTGCCAAGTTTCTGAGCTGTCAGTCTGTCTGGAGTAGGGGAGTCGGTCGCCGTGTCACTGCAGGCCGGAGGCCTGGCTCCCTAGAGGTGTAGTGGGGGCTCTGGGCTGATCTGCACCCCCGACAGCGGAGTCTTCTCCAGGGGTGACAACCTAGGAAGCAGGCGGGGGAGAGCGAGGGAAGGGGCGGGGCAAGATGGGGCTCAGGGGCTGGGGCGGGGGGGGGGCGGGGCGGGCTCTGGGCCGGGGGTGAAAGGAGAGGGAGGGTCTCCAGGCGAAGAAGTAGGGTCTCGAGGCGGGGCGGGCTCTGACAGGTGAGCCCCGGCCTGGGCTTGCGACTGGTTGCACAGGACCTAGGTGGGCGATAGGGCAGGGGTGGGGAAAAAACTTATGAGGGGGTGGGGAAATGGGGAAGGGGTGGGGGGACTGCCCCCCAGTCGAGGGCAGCAGCTGGAGACGGGCGGGTGGGGGTGCTGGGGAACTAGGGAGCTGGCGGGGTGCGGACTGAGCAGGGAGGGGGCGAGGGGCCGGAGGGAAGGGAAGTCTGAGGCTGCCAGGGAGTGGGGGGAGGGGCAGGCAGGGGTGGGGAGGGGAGAGAACCCTGCGGAGCTGAGCGGAGAAGGAAGGAAACCCGAGAGGGAGGAGGGGACTGCAGGCTCGGGGAGAAATGCAGAGGAAGAGGGGGGGGGAGGAAAACCCGAGGAGAGAGGAAGTGGGGGAGTCCAGCCCTGAAGGGGGCGGGAAAGGAGGTCTGGGAAGTGGAGGGGGTGGGTGCGCTGCCAGTGAGGCTGCCCCACTGCAGGGTCGGGGCAGGCAGGAGCTGGGGGGTGGGCGAAGGGAGGCGTTGGGGCTGGAGTTTGGGGGTGGAGCTGGAGTAGCGAGGCTGAGGAGTAAGAAGGGGCCGAAAAGGAGGCTGCTGGGGGAGGGGTGGGCCGCGGGAGCAGGATGGGGAGGGGAGGTTGTCCCTTCCTGAGGGTTGGAGGCGCTGCCGACCTGGGGTGGTTTGAGATGGAGTTTAGGTAAATATTTTTCCCACCCTCAGTGAGGACCCCTCTCCTGGCCTCTCCAGTTGCCCAGTGGTGACCCCACCTCCCCATTTGGCGCGGGCTCCTCCTGCAGGAACTGCGGGAGTGCTTGGAAGCTGGAGTTCCTTCTCTAAGTAGTATCTGTGGTTCCTGGGCGCTTCCAGGCAGGTCCTGGTGGAGGGCAGGCTCCAGGGCTTCTCCTTGGTTCTTATCAGAAGTGGCTTTAAGTCCTGGGTTCTGCCTCCCTCCACTCCCACTTCCTCCTACCAGAGCACAGAGCCCTGGATTAGGTCCTGGGCGCTAACCAGAAGCTCACCCTTTGAACCCACCAGCTTCTCTGTCGATAGAGACCTGGCAGTCTGCGGTTTTAGCAACCCTGTGAGGCGATTCCACTCTTCCACAGGGTCACTGCGAGTGGGAATTGATTAGCTGGCAGTAGCATTGGTTGGCTTTGGGTCCTTGAGGACACTTACCTCCTTGACGCCTGTCCTTGAAGACTGAACACCATGCATCCCCTTCGCAGAGTTGGCTGTCCCCAAGAAGAGCTGCGGCCATGAGGGAGTCTTTAGAGGGCCTTAGCCCCATGGGTGAGCTTGAGCCGGAAAGCGGAGGTGGGAGGATGGAGGGCCAGGACTGCTGTGTTCCCCCAGCTCAGCTGCAGCACAGCTTCCCAGTTAGCCTTTGAGGCCTCAGGCCTGGCACATTCAGGAGTGCTGAGCCCTATGTGTGTGGTTGTCACCAAACACCTCTCCCTTCTGTATGCACACATGAGTGTTGCACGTGTGTGATTCCCACTGGCACCTGTCCCTTCCCGTGTGTGTGTGTGTGTGTGTGTGTGTGTGTGTGTGTGTCCGCGCGCGCCTCACTGGCTATCTGTATTGTCTCTCTACACACGTGTGTGTGTGAACACGTGATTCTCAGTGCATACCTGTCCTTTCTCTGTGTGTGATTCCCAACAGGTACATGCTTCATCTCTGTGTGCACATGTGCGATCCTCACCGGGTACTTATCTGTGTGAGCACGTGTGTGTGACCCTCACAGGGTACCTGTCTCATGTGTGTGTGTGTGTGTGTGTGTGTGTGTGTGCTGTGTAAACGTGTGGTCCTCACCAGGCACTTATCTGTGTGTGTGCGTCTGTGACCCTCACTGAGTACCTGTCTGGGGTGTGTGTGTGTGAGAGAGAGAGAGTGTAGTTCTCATCAGTCAGCTGGCCCAGGTGTGTGCATTTCATTGGATGCTTCTCCTCTCTCCTTCCCTGATTCTAAACACTAGGCAGACACCTGATTGTCTATTGGGAAACCCAGGCTGTCGTTTGGTCATATGGCAGGGCATCCTGTGCTTTTGGGGCACACTGAGAAGGCCCTTGGGTGGGGTGAGAGGGGAAAACCCCACCTCTAACCCAGTCCTGCACAGGACTGAGGCTTCACTGAACTCCTCCCTCCACCTATAACAGGGTTCTCCGAGGGACAGCGAGTGCCAGCCCCCCAGAGTGAGTCCGGGGAAGTGTCCCATGGTGCCCAGGAGCAGGTGTCTCATGCTAGGGAAGAGAGAGGGCTAGGCTCATGTTCAGGTAAGTAGATGGAAGGATTCTCCCTTAAATACTTAATTAAGCACTAACCATATGCAGTTTCAGTGTTTGGAACATTTCCATGTTCTGTATGTACATGTGACACACATGTGTAAGGGTGTGCATGTGTGTGGGCAGAGGCAGTCAGCACAGCACACGTATAAAATAACTGATGTAGCTCCTTAGAGGGTCAGCTCTGGAGCCAGGATGAGGGAGCTGAGTGGCCCTGCAGGGCCTCTGAGAACAGTGACCAGGGTAAAAGGGTGAGTCAGGCAGCCCTGTGGGTGTTGGGCAAAGAGCTCCCAGAAGGGGGCAGCAGAGCTCATCACCTGAGCAGAAGAGTCCTTGCTCTGGGACACCTTGGGCGTGGAGGGTCCTTCTCAGCAGAATTTTCTGGTCACACACTTTCCAGAAGCTCTTCCACCTGCACAGCCTTATCATTCACCCTGCCTGGGGGGCCCAGGCCAACAGGGATCAGGGTGCAGACTTGCAGTGTCTTGGGGGTGGACCTTGCTGGCCTGGGAGCACCCCACCTCCAGTCCCTGTGTGATAGCACCCAATTTTGAGGCTTCCTGTTCTTTGCCAGGACTCGAGGCTCCCAGACCTGAGCATGGTGTCCACATGGAACAAAAGGATTCCCCCAGTGGAGCAGGCTGGGCAGCCACACCACCAAAGGCTGAGGCAGGGGGCTCCTGTCCAGGTGAGTCTCCTGTCTCCTGCCCTAGGTGTGGTCAGGGCCTCTGCAGAGTCTTAGTGTCCCGTTCAGCTCCACTCCTAAAGGAACTGGGATTCCTAGACAGCAGGAGTTAAAGAGGCGGGGGCCATTGAAGGGCCTGGAATTGGAACTTCTCTCCTACCTCGCATCTGTATCCTGTTGACTGTAGGGATGCATTTCCCAGAAGACAAATGAGTAAGTCCAGGTTTCATTACCTCTCCCCTGGTAAGCCCTCTCCCTCATATCTGCACATTTTTACGTCAAGGTGCTCCAGCTCTGCCTGGGAAAGTCTCACCAAGGCTTCAGACCTCACCCTCACTTCCTTCCAGCACCACTATTTTATCAGTTTGCTGAGTGATGTAATTTCATTCCACAGGGTTTGTTTAATGCCTCCTGGAGCTCTGGTGGCTTAGTGGTAAGAAGTTGCACTGCCAATCTAAGGCATGCAATTTGAATCTCTTAGCTAGTCCACAGGAGAAGGATGGTTAATCTTTTACCATGTGAGTTGTTGTTGTAATGTGCCATCAAGTCACCTGTGACTCACAGAAACCCTATATACAATGGCTGTGAATCCTGCCCTGTCCTGAGCCAGTCTCACTGACTCCAACATACTTAATTCCATGGCCCAAGTTACCATGTCAATCCATCTCCTCTGGGGTTTTCCTCTCCTGAACTGTCCCTCTACCCTTCCAAGCATGATGTCCTTCTCCAAGGACTGGTCCCTCCTGGCCACGTGCACAAAGAATGTGAGATGTAGTTTCATAATCCTTGCCTCTTCCACCCTCTCCAAGGCAGACCTGTTTGTTTTGGTGGTCCATGATATGTTCAGTACTCTTCTCTAGCATTACAACTCAGAGGCATCAATTCTTCTGTCATATTTACTATTTTTGAAAAACTGCTGAAAGTTAAACTATGAGTCAGTACCGACTCTATGGTATATAACAACAAAGGTTTATTCTGAAGGAACCCTGATGGTATGGTGCATTATGAATCAGGATGTTAACAGTAAGATGAGTGGTTCAAATCCACCAATTGACCCACAGGTGGAAAATAAATAAGTAAATAAATAAATCCCAGAAAGAATTATAGCCTTGGCACCCCAGTGGGGTTTGTTACAATTCTGAGTTGGCTACCTGGCAGTGGGTGGAGGTGCCTTCCTCTAGGAGCCCTGGTAAAGTATATAACTAATGAGCTGCTAAGCAAAAGGTTGGAATTCCCAACCCCCCAAATCTGAAGGCTCAAGATGTGGCAGTCTGTTTACAAAAGATCTAGCTTTGGGAATCCAGTGGAGCAGTTCTACCCCAGGCTGTAAGCTGAAATTTTACTGAGGTTTATGTACAGAGTATGTATGTGGGCTGCAGAGGGAAGGTATGGCTCTAGAGTAGCCCAAACCTGGGCTGACCTGATCTGAAACCCAACTCCCCATTGTGGCCATTGGGAGCCCTAGTTGGCGTACCCATAAGTAGGGAGGTAGCAGTGTTCGTACGTACATGTCTGGGGACGTTCCATTCGTCCAGCAAGCGTCCTGCTCAGCCCTCAGTTCTCTCACTCACATCTGGCAAGCCTAGCCCCGTTCACAAATGCCTGGAAGGACCCTGCTTGGCCAACGAGACTCCACCTGAAGGAACTGTCTCACTCCATGGCACCTGAAGTGTCATCTTACACTGGTGTCCTGGTCCCGCTGTCTCTTGTGATTTCTAGTGGTTGTGAAATCTTTTGTGATTTCTAGTCTCCAGCTGTTTCCAGTGTTACAGCTCCACGTCTTCTGAGTCGTGGAGGGTGTTAGTGCAGGAATTATCAATCCAAAGGATACACTTTGCTTCTGTCTCTTTACAGAAGTAGTGGCAAAGTGGTCCTCTCTCCATCTTTGAAATGACTAATTTTAAACCTATTAGCAAAACTGATCAATCTCCTTGTTAGAAACCTTATTTGCAGGATTCTACCCTTACAAAGTGAGGCTCCAGGAACTGATGGAATATCAATTGACATATTTCAGCAAACAGATGCCACCCTGAATGTGCTCACTAATCTATGCCAAGAAATTTGGCCAACTCACTGGAAAAGATTCATATTTGTTACCATTTTCAACAAAAGTGATCCAGTAGAATGTGTAAATTATAAAATAATATCATTAATATCATATGCAAGTAAAATCTTGTGGAAGATTGTTAAAAAATGGCTAGAACAATACATCAGCAGAGAAGTGCTAGAATTCAGGCTAGATTTAGAAGAGGTCTTGACACAAAGGATAATATTGTTAATGTTAGATTTGTCTTGCCTGAAAGCAGAGAATACCAGGAAGATATTTGTGTTTTATTCATGATGCAAAGGGAGGCATGCAGTTTGGATCCACCAGCTGCTCCTTTGAAGAAAGATGAGCAGTCCCCAACTGTATGATTTGCTGCCTTAAAAAACCCACTAAATGGTCAGCTATGAGCTCAGTTTAACTTGACAGTATGTAACAACAACAATTGACTGTGCAAAGGTATTTGAATATAAAGATCATAACAGATTTTGGCTGACATTGAAAAGATTGAGACTCTCAGAACTCTCAGTCATGCTAAAGTTTTCTAAACAAGGGAACGCTGCATGGTTTAAGGTCCGAATAGATGTATGTTAGGATTGTATCCTTTTTCCATACCTATCCAATCTGTATGCAAATTTATTCGAGAAGCTGGACGATGAAGAAGAATATGATATTAGCGCTGTAGGAAGATCTGCATTATGTAGGTCACACAACTTTGCTTCCAAAAAGTGAAAAAGACCTGAAGCATTTACTGGAGAAGATCAAAGACTACAGCCTTCATGTCAACACTGTTGTTGCTATTAAGTGCCATTGAATCAAGTACGACTCATAGCAACCCTATGAACAAAAGATCGGAACCCTGTTATAGCCTGCACCATACTCACATTTCCTGACACACAAGAACTCATTGCAGTAGTCACCATGTCAGTCCACCTGATTGAGGGTCTTCCTCTTCTTTACTGACCCTCCACCCTTCCTAGCATCATGTCCTTCTCCAAAGAAAAGCCCCTTCTAGCAACATGACCAGAGTATGTGAGGCAAAGCCTCAGCATTCTTGCTTCCACAGAGCACTCTGGCCGCACCCTCTCCAAGACATACCTCTTTATTCTCTTGGCTATCCATGGGATATTTAGTGGTCTTCTCCAGAACCACAGCTCAAAGGTATAAATTCTTTTTCTGTCATCTTTATTCATTGTCCAGCTCTCAGATGCATAACAAGTATTTGGAAAGACCATGGTCTAAATCAGACACACCTTAGTCCTCAAACTGAGATATTACTCCTCACTATTTTGGAGAGGTCCCTAACTACAGATGTCCCCAGTGCAGTGTGTCTCCCTATTCCCTGACTGCTGGGACCAAGGCAGGCTGTTAATTGTATATCCAAGCAAGATGACACTTTTGACAGTTTCAATCTCCTCTCCATCATGCTGCTGCCTATCAGTCCAGTGGTAAGAAGCTTTGTTTTCTTGACATTGAGATGAAATCCATACCGAAGGCCGCAATGGATGATCTTCTGCAACAAGTGCTTCAAGTCCCCACTTTCAGCAAGCAGGTTGTGTCATCTGCATAACACAGGTTGTTGATGGGTCTCCCTCTAATCCTAATGCCACACTCCTTTTCATAGAAACCAACTTCTTGAATAATTTGTTCAGCATAGAGATTGAATAGGTATGGAGAGAGAATACAACCCTGATGCACTCCCTTCTCAGTTTAAAACTATGCAGTGTTCCCCTGCTCTGTTCACACAACAGTCGGGTATAGGTTCTGCATGAGCACAATTAAGTGCTCTTGGATTCCCATTCTTCTCAGTGTCAGACATATCTTGTGATCCACACAGTCAAATGCCTTTGCATTGTCAATTTAGCACATATAGACCTTCTTCTGGTGTTCCATACTTTAAGCCAGGATCCATCTTACATAAGCAATGATATCCCTGGTTCCACGGCCTCTTCTAAATCCTGTTTGAATCTCTGGAAGTTCCCTATCTATGTATTGTTCTGGCAGTTTTTTCATTATCTTCAGAAATATTTTGCTTGCTTGTGATGCTAGTGATATTGTTCAGTAGTTTCCACATTCAGTTGGATCACCTTTCTTGCGAATGGGAACAAATATGGAACTCTTCCAATCCATTGGCCAGACAGCTGTCCTACAAATTTCCTGGAATAGACTGTTGAATGCATCCATAGCTGCATCTGTTAATTGAAACAAGTCAATTGGTATCCCATCAATTCCTGGGGCCTTATTTTTTGACAATGCCTTCAATGAAGCTTCCACTTCCTCTTTCATTACTATTGGCTACTGCTAATAGGGTACTTCATGAAATTTTTCAGTGTCAATTCTTTCTGGTAGTGATTCCATATATTTTCTCCATCTTCTTTTGATGCTTTCTGGGTCATTCAGTATGTTGCCCATAGCATCTTTCAGTATTGCAACTCAGGGTTTAAATTTTGTGTTTCATTTCATTAGGAAAACAACATTCTCACCACTGAACCAATAGACAGCTTTATAATGGAGAAAAGATTGACATCATGAATTTCATTCCTCTTCAATTCACAATCAAAAAGATGTGTTGCATTGGTAAAATCTGTCAGGGACCTCTCCAAAGTACTAAAGAGAATTATGTCAGTTTAAAGACTAAGATGCACCTAATCCAAACCATGGTCTTTTAATTTATTTCCGATGCATCAGAAAGTTGGGCACTACATAAGAATAACAGGGGAAAAAAACCAACAGAAAAAGTACCAGTGCCTTTGAGTTGAGGTATTGGAGACTAGTGCTGACTATACCATGGACTGCCAAAAGAAAAACCAAGTCTGCCTTGAAGGAAGTGACATCAAGTGGTCTAAGGAACAAGGTGCTCCTTGGAGGCAAGGATGGTGAAACTTTGTAGCACATTTTTTGGGCATGTTGTCAGGAGGGACCATTCCTTATGGTGGAGCCGATGGAGGATCAGAGAAGGAGAGGAATACCATCAACAGCGTGAAAAGACATAGGGCTGTAACAATGGACTTGAGCATATTAGATATTGTGAGGATGGCTCAGGACAGGGCAGGGTTAGATCTGTTGTTCATAGGGTTGCTGTGTGTCATAGTTGACTTGATGGCACCTAAGAACAACCACAAGCCCCACAAGAGTGCTATGTGCAAAAAGAAAGAATGCCATGTTCCTTGTGTACATTCTTAGCAACTTACCCAGTCGTGTGGATTGACCACATGCACCTTTGTGTGTAGTCCCTCCCAACCCTCTGATGGATGTTAGAAGACCGTGGTGAGAAAGACCTGCTAGAAGGAGTCCATCACGTGACAAGCACATAGATTAAATGATGACTGGATGGTCTTTAAGCTGGAGTAGCTCTAATTGTGATGTTCATGATCTTCCTGGATGTATGTGTAAGGACAAGCCTCAGCATCTATGGACCAGAGGAACCCAGAGCATCAAGTTCAGTGGTTTTCAAGGAAGAAACCCTCTGGGAGCTTGCCAGAAAGAGCAGACTAGTAGGTCTTGCTCATAGAAGCATTTTGTAGTTCCCCAGTGAGTTACAAAGAGACAGCTGAATTAGGACCTGAGACTCTGTGTAGTCCAACTTTTACACCTAAACAATCTAGACAACTCAATTTAAAGAGATAACTAAGGTCACTATGCTGGGTTGTGGCACAGGCAAGCCATCAGTGGATGCTGGATGCTGGGTCCTGAGCTCTTCTGGACTGGGCTGTTGCATCACGGCATGGAGGTGGAGGCGGACAGGAACCAAGATCCAGCCAAGCTGCACAAACCTGTCCCAGGTTCTCCCTGCTTCTCCTGAGCCACATATACCAGGAAGGTTGCCACTGGTGCTCTGAGCTCTTCTCCCTAAACAGGATCTCCCACCTGGTTGTGGCATCTGGGATAAAAGGAGCAGCAGGGGCTTGTCTGGGGGTGGTCAGGAGGGGCCTCCAGGTCAGGTGTCAGGCTCTGCCTAACTGCTAAGGGAGGGAGACTTAGGGAAGGCTGGGAAGAGCCTCAAGCTTCAGCCATGTGGATTCTGAGACATTAGGCTTCTAGAAGGAGCCAAGCAGGTGAGCCAGGCACCCATGGGTGGCAAAATCTGAACAAGCCTGAACAATATTTAGGGACCCCAGCCAGATGGCAGCCTGGCAGCTTGGGAGAAGCCTGGCGGGGCTCAGTAGGGCCAGCGGCTTTGGGAAAGGACCGTCTGACCGAGGAGCTCAGGGTGGTCACTCCAGGCTGTACAGCTCTGTAGTAGCCTAGGCTGGATGGGCATAGCATGCGGCCTCCTAAACTGCTGCCTTGACCTCCTCAGGGGACGAATGGATGGTTCGAAAGGTGAAGGTGGAGGATGACGACCCTGAACCCGAAGCAGAGATGGAATGGCCTCAGCATCTGCCCTTCTTCTCCAGCTCGCTCTCGACACCAGACCTGGGACCTGTGGCTGCCACCTACAAACTGGAGCCCGGGGAGCCAGATGGGCTTGCACTGTCTGGGTGGACCCCCGCCCCAGAGAAGCCCTTTGGCTGCAGAGACTGCGAGAGGCGCTTCAGAGACAGGCTGACTCTGACTCTGCACCAGCGGCTGCACCGTGGCGAGGGCGCATGCGCCTGTCCAGAGTGCGGCCGCAGCTTCGCACAGCGCGTGCACCTGGTGCTGCACCAGCGCAGCCACCGGGGTGAGCGGCCTTTCCCGTGCTCCGAGTGCGACAAGCGCTTCAGCAAGAAGGCGCACCTGACCCGCCACCTCCGCACGCACACGGGCGAGCGCCCCTACTCATGCACAGAGTGTGGCAAGCGCTTCAGCCAGAAGATCCATCTGGGCTCCCACCAGAAGACCCACACCGGCGAGCGGCCCTTCCCCTGCGCCGAGTGCGACAAGCGCTTCCGCAAGAAGACACACCTGATCCGCCACCAGCGCATCCACACTGGTGAGCGGCCCTACCCGTGCACGCGATGTTCCCGCAGCTTCACGCACCGGCAGCACTTGGCGCGGCACCAGCGGGTGCACGAGGTTCAGCCGCCTGCGCCCGCAGCAGTCCCGCCCCTCGAAGGCTCAGACTCCACCTTGGGCTGCAAGAGCCTTGCGTCTCCGCAGTCTCTCCATGGCAGCTCACTCGCCTCTGCGGACCCCGCTGTGGATCCTGCACCCCTGGTCCACGAACGGCCTTTGTGCTGCCCTGACTGTGGGCGCCGCTTCGTCCAGGGACAGCACCTGGTGCGGCATGGTCGCGTGCACGCGGGCGAGCGGCCCTTCTCCTGTGTGCAGTGTGGCCACCGATTCGGTTCTTGGCCCAACCTGGCAGCACACGCCAGAGCCCACAGCGGGGCCAGACCTTTTGCCTGTGCGCAGTGTGGCCGCTGCTTCAGCCGCAAGTCGCACCTGGGCCGTCACCAGGCTGTGCACACAGGCAGCCGGCCCCATTCCTGCACTGTCTGTGCCCGCAGCTTCAGCTCCAAAACCAATCTGCTGCGTCACCAGGCCATCCACACCGGCTCCCGCCCCTTCCCCTGTGCTCAGTGTGGCAAGAGCTTCAGTCGCAAGACACACCTAGTGCGGCACCAGCGTGTCCACTCAGTGGGGGCCACCCAGTCTGTCTCTTGTCCTGCACCTGCCTGGCCCCCTGGCAGCAAGGGAACACCGCCCTCACTCTTCTTCTGAGCCTTCTCTCTCAGATGCCCCTTTGCACATGGGTTAAAGAACTGCCCTGTTGCCTGGGGTGTGGTGCATCTGGAAAGAACCTCCAGCTCTGATGCTGAATGACCAGGATGTCTGAGTAGTCTGAGCACAGTTGGATCCCAGATCCTTGGAAAACCTTCTGACTCTCTTGTTAGGGGGGGGAACTTTTCAGCCTCACTCACCAGGGTGGAGACACTTCTAGCAGCATCTCCTTTCCAGAAGGTGCAAAGAATGGTTACTTGTGTTTATTAAAGATGGGGCTGATTAGGCTGGGGTGTTAAAATGGTTGGGAGGAAGCCCCATCTCTCCATCCTTGTCCCACAGAATGCTGCAATGACCTCCGTGGCAGCTTGAGGAAGTAGCTCCATGGACAGCAGTTCAGAGGAGCCCTGGTTGAAGGAGGCTTGGACACCATTCTCATACATTTCTGAAGCTAAGGGGTTGTGATTGAGCTTTCTGAATAAGCAAATGTGGGCCGAGAGAGAGGAACCTGGGTAGAATCCGAGGAACCCCAACATCTCGAAGGAGGCATGGAGAGAAACCTGAAGCTGAAATTGGGAGGGTAGCCATGGAAGAAGGGGGTGAGGTCGGAGATGGTTACAGAAGCTTGGCATCCACTTCCAGAGCAAGAAGCCAGGCAGCTGGGGCAGAACTCAGACAGCAGCGCCTGAGAAGGAAGGACTTGAAATCTGAGGCAGAGAGGCCTCTGGGGTCTGTGGGAAGAAGAGCAGGTGGACGTGGCTCCATAGGCTCCTGAGTCTGGGCAGGAATGAGGAAATAAGAGGGGAGAGGAATTACCCCATGCACCATTGGCAACCAGTGATTCCTTAGCTCGGTTGCTAGAGGGTTTAGGACCAGAGAGTGAGTACAGGTAATGTCATGAAAGTACTATACAATGTGTTCGAACCCCTGCAGAGTGTAGGAGATGGGGAAGCCAAGAAAGACTCGTGACGGGTGGTCACTGCAGCAGTCTGGTCAGTGGTGGTTCCTTGGAGAGGGACATGGTGCTCAAGGTTCTTCCTCTCTTTCTCTGGCCCTCCATCTTTCCAAGCATGATGTCCTTCTCCAAGGAATAACTTCTTGCAACATGCCCAAAGTATGTGAGATGAAGCTCCATCATCATTGTGTCCAAGGAGCACTCTGGCTGCACCTTCTCCAAGACATATCTCATTGTTCTTTTGGCCATCCATGGGATACTCAGTACTCTTCTCAAACACCACAGACCAAAGCCACCAATTCTTTTCTGTCACCTTTATTCATTGTGCAGCTCTCAGATACATAGCAAGTGATCAGAAAGACCATGGCCTGAATCAGGTACCCCTTAAAGAAACTAGCAGAAGAAGCCTTGCATTAAATTCTTTATACACTGATCTCCAAAAAGCAAGCTTTGGGTGTAGCCTAAAGAAGTCTCACACAAAAAAATGTCTCACTGTTTGCTTATATTGATGATGTGAAGTTAACCTGTGATTCTGTGTCTCTACTTCAAGACATAGCTCTGATCACCAACACTTTCAGGGATGGACTGTCAAGAATGCCAAATTACCAGGCATTGGATTGTCTCTTAAATGTTCGAGTCTTGTCTCATTAGGTAAAACAAAATTTTTTTCCAGAGGTGGTAATAGACAGTTAATCTTCTCGCTAATAAAACTAAAGAATTGAAAACCTTATGAGGAATATTAGATGGTGGTGGTGGTGATGTGCCATCAAGTCACCTGCAACTCAGAGCGACCATATGCTTAATAGCTCTGAATTCTTGCTCTGCCCTGAGCCAGTCTCACCATTTCTGACACACCTATTCCATTAATTCAGTTATTGTGTCAGTCCATCTCATCTGAGATCTTCCTCTCCTGTGCTGTTCCTCTACCCTTCCAAGCATGATGTCCTTCTCCAAGGACTGGTCCCTCCTCTGACAACATGCCCAAAGTATGTGAGACGGAGCCTCAAAATCTTTGCCTTCAAGGAACAGCTCGCTTTCACTCTCTAAAAGACAAACCTGTTTGCTCTCGTGGCAGTCCATGGTATGGCCAATATTCTTCTCCAGCACCACAACTCAAAGGCATCTATTCTTCTGACAACCCTAGTTATTGTCCAGCTCTCTGATGCATAGCAGGTAAACCATGCATAGACCATGATCTGAATCCGGGGTACTTTTGTCTCCAGACTGATAGTGTTGCTCTTGAGCACGTTGGAGAGGTCCCTGACAGCAGCTTTCCCCAGAGCAATTTGTCTTTTGATTTCTTGACTGTTGGTGCTCAGAGTGTTGATTGTGCAGCTGAGCAAGCTAAGCTGAAATTGTTAACAACTTCAATCTCTTTTCCATCTACTGTGGTGCTGCCAGTTGGTTCAGGGGTGAGAATCTTGGTCTTGATGTTGAGCTTCAGTCCATATTGAAGACTACAGTCCTTGACCATCTGCAGCAAGTACTTCAGGTCTGCCTCAGTTTTGGGGAGCAAGGTTGTGTCATCTGCATAACGTAGGTTTTTTATAAGTCTTCCTCCGATCCTAATGCCACATTCCTCCTCATAAAGCCCAGCCTCCCAAATGATCTGTTCAGCATATAGATTGAAACAGTGTGGAGACAGAACGCATCACTGACACATTCCTTTCCTTATTTTGAACCATGCTATTTCCTTGCTCTGTTCTAAGGACTGCTGCCTGGTCCAAGTATAGGCTTTGCATGAGCACAATCAAGTGTTCTGGGATTCTCACTCTTCTCAAAGTTAGGCACAATTTGTTGTGATCTACACAGTGAAATGCCTTTGCATAGTCAATGACGCAGAGATGGACATTCTTCTGGTTATTGAAGGCCTTTTATTCCACAGTTAGCTTAGATACCCTGCCCTTCAGGCAACTTTGATGGCACATAACAATAACAACCACCCTGCCCTTATACCAATTAGCACCTGAAGGAGTGGTCTGGGATTGGATTAATGAAGCTGACCTAACATTCCAGGAGGCCAAAGTGGCTGTCTAGCAGATCCAGGACTTAGAGACTAGGGTAAGAATGCAGATTGGATGCCGCCAGGGACCCTGAAGGGTTTTGCCAGGGTTTGTGGCAACAGCAACGTGACCAGTGAATCCCACTTTTATTCCGGTCTCAGTTGTAGAAAGAGGCAGAAACCAGATACATTTCCCTAGAAAGGAACATCTGTGTGCAGTATATGACAGCTTACAGCTAATAGAAGTTATCACCAAAGGCACTCCTATAAACATGCATCCTCACATCCCCACCCTGCGAAGGCTTCAAGTCTTTGCGAAGCCCCAAGCTGGGGCAGCATGGGTGAATTTTCTTGCCAAACAGCATGCCTACCTACAACAGTGTAGGCCTGTGTTAACGAGCCCTCTAAGTGATGAACCCCAACAGATTTTAGGCCCAGTCTCACACGTAACAATAGATGATGCAGCAACCCCCACTGCCCAGGATTTCCATCGTAGGAGTCAGATACTGAGGGCGCAGGACCTACATCAGAGGATCCGTGGTATACAGATGAAGCTGCACAGGGGAATCCTCCAAGGTGGCTAGCAGCGGTAACCCTTCATGGATTGTGGTGATGGGCAGCGTAGACAGTGGGCTGAACTCAGCTGTGTGGATGGTTTCAGAACATGAACCTCATTCTAGTACTCTGTGCAGTTAGGCTGTCTCCAGAGGAATTACTCTGGTAGAAATAACAAGAGTTAATGACCAGTCATGCCCCATGTCGGGTAAGGAGTTGCGGGAGGATGTATGGCCAAGGACACAGGTATGGACACGTGTTTTTCACATATTTGCACATAGTATTTTGTCTCCCCATGGGAATATTGAGGTAGATTAATTAGTCTGCTCAAGAGCCTTTCAAGAAGTGTCCACTGACCCGTTGGCAAAATGGCTACATTCTATAGCCAGCCAAAAGGGGCAATAGCCCTTAAGGGCCATTGTCAAGTAAGGAGCTGGGCCTTCCTCTCCGTGAAGCAAATTATTCAGGCTGGTCAGCAATGCTACAGCAGTTCCCTGGAGCTCCACATCCGCTTTTCTTTTCTATAGGGCACATAGCCAGGGGAGAAGCCCTAGCACAAACAGGGACTCTCCTTGTGTCCAGCAACTACAGGTATGCCCTTACCTGTGTGAACACTGCTATTGGACTCTTGCAAGCACACCTCTGCAAGTGTGCCACTCAGAGGTCAACAATCAGGGGTCTACAGCTTCTATGTGCTATATGTGAGAGTGACCAGGGAACTCATTTTACTGGACATGAAGTTCAGGAGTGGGCTGACCAGATGGGGGTTGTTTAGATTTTCCAGCTCCCCTAGAATCTTACAACAGCTGGTATCATCAAATGCATGGAGGGCTGAGGTAGACCTTGAACATGAGACTCTGCCCAGTGGACTAGATGACCCGAACCCCTCCAGTGAGTGCATCAGAGCATTTTTTTTTCAGCAAACTCATCCAAGCACAGACCAGCTATTGAGGCAAAAGCCCCAGAGGACAATGAGGATACATTTACGGCAGCTGAGGACGTTTCCCCAAGTTGGACTAATACTCTGCTGCCTTTGCCACGGGACCTTCCTCCAGGGGGGACAGTTGTGACCTTCCTGTGTAGTTGGCTAACTAGAGAGTTTGGCTTTTTGGCTCCTTGGAGAAGAGAAGAGTTTGCCAACTACTCTGTGGCTTTTGCTAATACTCCCGAAGTCTCTCAGCTATAACCCCAGTGAGGACATCATTCCTTAGGAACCACTGGTCCTAAGCTTATGGACTATTAGAGTCCTGTCCCAGCCCCTCAATTACATTGGAGTCAGCAACTCAGAAAAACCTTCAGGGCAAAATTTGGTGAAAACATAGGTAGAGACTCTTCCCAGAAACTGTCCTTACCCATCTGAAACTGTTTGCATTTTCATTGATGACCAGGACTTGCCTCTTCTGGTGCCTCTGCTTTGTCTTTTCACTCATGGTGTGGAGGAAAATGTTTTCACAAGCTGAGCTATGATTGCTGAGGTGAGAAATCAGA